AGTATGTTGAGAACACAACTTAATATATTAAGTGCTGAAATCACTTATATTATGATATTTGGTGTTTCAAATGCATTAAAATAATTGTTGACAGAGAGAGTCCAACGGCAGCTAGAAAAAGGCATCCATTCCATTATGTTTTGTGTACATTTTACTTTATTTATTTTTCATGGAAACTGGCCATCGTTTCTACCGAAATAACCAATATGCCATTTTGGTATTCATGGCAAGTGATGTTATATATTAACATGGTTTGACCCGATATTATATATTACTATTATCATGATATCAGAGCTTAGGTTTTGAATTTTGTCTTATGACTATTTTGATTTTAGTTTGGTGTTAGAGTCGAGGTTTCGAAATTAGTTTTACGATAGGGGTGTGCTATCAATACACCCAATTTTATTTTTCACACGCATCCTAATAATTTATGTTCGTTGATCTTCTTCAATTCATTCGATTCGACAGCCGAAAATTAAAAAAGTGTGTGAGAAGTAAAATAGGATGTGTGGATATCACACCTCATACGATATTGTTTTGATACCAGTTTGATGATGGATAGATGCTGTTTTTTTTTTTTTCACTAAATTTTGTTTGTTTGTTTGTTTTTTTTTTTTTTTTAATGAAAAACAAACTAAATTTTGTTTAATAAAGTGATAGGAATATAGAAGGATCGAAGAAATTCTTTTAATCTAATTCAAAAAAGAAATGCAAAGAGGAAAAAAATCACAACACTAAAATGTGATTTAAGAATCCGAATAAACAAAATAACTACTAATTTTTCCGATTCTTAGACCAAATAAGTTGACTTGAATAAAATCACATTTGGGAGGACTTTTATTCGATCAGCCGATGGCTTCTTTGCCCTTTGAAATTTCAACTCTCAAGAAAGAATGCTGCTGTTTTGCATTTCATGGTGGCCTTTCGAGTCGGCAGCCAGACAGCAAATCCCACCTCCAAACCCTACCATTTTCGTAATTAAACCCATCTCCAAAAGCGAAAAAAAGGATGAGGATCCTATTCGGATTCTCTTTGTGAGGATCAATCCTCACATCCTAATAGTTTATCGTACATTATACGGTTAGTTTTTGTCAGTTACTATTTATGTTTAATTTTAAATAAAAAAATTCAAATAATTTATGACCGTACAATATACAATGAATAATTATGATCTGAGCATCTTTAGTATCCCCACCATTTAAATCCGGATGCGATCCAAATCCGAAAAAAATAGAAGACACATCTCCTGACTAGGAGTGCTTGACCATGAGCACTCACACACACCTTATCAGTGCGGAAGGACAAAGAACACTTCTCTGCGTCCCCTACAATTCTCCTGTTTCATTCACTTCCCGAAACTCCATGTGTGACCCTTTCCCTCCTCCTCCTCCTCCTTTTTTCAGCTTCTTCCCTTTTACTTTGGAGATTCTGAACTACCCCAATCTTCACGGCCGGACATTCAGCATCAGTTATAGTCGAGCGACTCCACTAACTGACCATTTGACCTAACTCACGTCGTTTTCTTCCTTACTTTCTCTACGATGAACAAAACAAAACCAAATCCCAAACCTCTCCTCCTCGTAATTCTACTACCTTCGATCCTATCCTGCCAACCAGCTTTTGCCGTCGACTTTGTCTTCAACGGCTTCAACTCCTCCGACATGTTGCTCCTCTACAGCAACGCCACCGTCGAGTCTCGAACCCTAACGCTCACAAACGACACCAACTTCTCCATCGGTCGAGCTCTCTACAAATCCAAGATCCCTACCAAAGAACCTAACTCATCGTACGTATACCCTTTCTCAACTTCTTTCATTTTCTCCATTGCCCCTTACAAGAACACACTTGCCGGTCACGGCATGGTGTTCATTTTTGTGCCGCAAACTGGCATCAAGGGGACGAGCCCGGGCGAGCATCTCGGACTCTTCAACTTCACCAACGGCGGTAGCTCCGACAACCATGTTTTCGGTGTTGAATTTGATGTGTTTAAGAATGAGGAGTTTACGGATATTAGTGACAACCATGTCGGCATCGATCTGAATTCTCTTCTATCTGTCAAGGCACACGAGGCAGGGTTTTGGCCGGAAAATAGTGATGGAAGTGATGAAAAAAGTTTCAAGAAATTGAAGCTTAATAGTGGGGAAAATTACCAGGTTTGGATTGATTACAAGGATCTTTTGATCAATGTTACAATGGCGCGGGCCGGCGCAAAAAGGCCGAAAACACCGTTGTTGAGTTTTGGCTACAATTTGTCTGATGTATTGTTGGATGAAATGTTTATTGGGTTCACAAGTTCAACGGGGCAGTTAGTTGAGAGCCACAGGGTTTTGGCATGGAGTTTTAGCAATTCCAACTTTTCGTTGAGTGAGAGTTTGATCACTTCTGGTTTACCTTCTTTTGTGCTTCCAAAGAGTTCGATTTTCGCATCAAAAGGTTTCATTGCAGGGATCACAGTGGGTGGATTTTTTGTGATTTGTATACTTGCTCTGGTTTCTCTGTTTTTGTTCAAGGGGCATAGGAGGCTAGCTAGGGAGAGGGAGGAAATGGAAGATTGGGAATTGGAGTACTGGCCGCATAGAATTACTTACCAGGAAATCGAGACGTCGACGAAGGGTTTCGATGAAGAGAATGTGATCGGAGTTGGAGGCAATGGGAAGGTTTATAAGGGTGTTTTAGCAGGAGGGGCGGAGATCGCGGTGAAGCGCATCTCACACGAAAATGATGGGATGAGGGAATTCTTGGCTGAGATTTCAAGCATTGGGAGGTTGAAGCACAGAAATTTGGTAGGGTTGAGAGGTTGGTGCAAGCAAGAGAAAGGTAGATTCGTATTAGTGTATGATTACATGGAAAACGGGAGTTTGGACAAAAGGGTTTTTGATTGTGATGAGAATAAGATGTTGAATTTTGAAGACAGAATTAGGGTTTTGAAAGATGTGGCTTCAGGGGTGTTTTACTTGCATGAGGGTTGGGAATCCAAAGTCCTACATAGGGACATTAAGGCAAGTAATGTGTTACTTGATAAGGAAATGAATGGGAGGCTTGGGGATTTTGGGTTGGCAAGGATGCATGGACATGGTGAAGTGCTCGGCACCACTAGGGTTGTCGGAACAGTAGGTTACTTGGCCCCGGAAGTGATCCGGATGGGGCGAGCATCAGAGCAAACCGATATATTTGCGTTCGGGATCCTGATTTTGGAAGTGATGTGTGGGAGGAGGCCTCTAGAGGATGGGAGGCCACCTTTGGTGGAATGGGTGTGGAAACTTAAGGTGCAAGGAAACTTGTTACAAGCCTTTGATGAGAGGCTAAGGGCTAGGGGAGAGTTTGATGAGGAGGAAGTAGAAAGGGTTTTGCATTTGGGATTGTTGTGTGCATATCCTGACCCAAATGCTAGACCGTCGATGCGACAAGTGGTTAAAGTGTTGGAGGGGAAGAAGAACGATCAGCCGGACGAGTCGGAAACTGAGGACATGGATGCATATGTGCTCCGAAAGTTGCAATCCAAGGAGATGTGGTCGGATTTTTCACAAACTTTTGGGTATGGATCATATTCACACCCAACTTTTGAAGACATCAAGCAGTCCATATCCACTTCAACGTCTCTTTCTTGGTCCAATACTAGCACAGTGGAAGGTAGGTGAATCTCCATCATTCACCAAATGGAAAGGGAAACTCTTGGGTACATATGTATTGTAGCACACTTTACCACATAATATGAATGATGAGTTTGCACAAAGATCCGTTGTGTTTTTGCAAACTATTTATCTGTTCACAATCTTTGAACTTAGGTCTCGATTCGTACAACATTATGAGAAGGATGATAGAAAAAGAAGAACGAGAAAGTCAACTCAGAAGATCAGTAGCATCCCAATTGTAAAAGGCATGTTCACTCCGCAAGGGTAGGACTCGGTGAGATTTTTGCTATGAGAGAAGCTCTTTGTCTTGCTATTTAAAGACACAATTGAACCATCTTGGACTTGGACCATCCATATTTGCATTGCCTCAAGGAAGGGCAGGTTTTTATACTACTTTTCGTTCACCCCTCTTTTGAATTTAAGAGAGAGAATCGGTGTATTTATACTACTTTTCGTTGTGAATCACGCGAAACTTTCTTTGTACTTCCGTATGAATGCATTTCCGCATTTTGCATTAGTTCGATGTGTTTTCCCCAAGTGTTGTTTGATTGTCGATGAAGTCATATAAGTTTGCTAATGCTGTAGGGGTCCCCCCTTTTAAGAGAATGGAAGAAAGCTTGGGTTTTTAACCATGGTTTAAGGTATTACTCATCAGAATAAAACTAAATCCGAATCAAAATTGCTGCACTTTATTGTTTTTATATATGTTGTTTGGCTTTAAAATTTCACATGGAGAACAAAAATTCACCTTGTAAAACATACGTAAAGTTATATAAGTTTCGGATACAAACTGACCATGCATGTAATTAAAATCTTTTACTGTCAAGTCTTTCTTAGTTAGTAATTCTGGTATAAATAATTGATATGTCTTTCTTAGTTCGTAATTCTGGTATAAATAATTGATATGTCTTAAGTCCAAATCTGCTACTATTAAGGTACTTTAACATCTTCATATTATCCGAGTTTAGCTGCTTGAAATGTTGAATGCATGGTCTAGTTCTTCACATCATCCGTGTTTAGGTTTTGGAAGCTTTTCAATAAGCTCAAATTTTTGCTCGATCAACCTCAATGCCCAAGATAGAAAAGAAATTCAATGCCCCAATACAAAGCGCCCTCTTGCACCATGAAAGGAAATTTGTCCTAGTTCAACACTAAGTTTGTGTTCTTGGACACCGTTTTAGCATGAGTCAAATTGCGAAGACAATCATCAAGGGAAGACACCCGAAGACAGAAAAGTCATCCACGACGAGACTTGGATAACCCTTCAATCATGCCTTGGAAAATTGTTTACAATCAGATCAAGTTGTAAACAATTTTCCAAGGCATGATACTACTTTTCTTCTATACACCTAATTTTGTGAATGGCAATTGTAATCCAATCAATCTTTACCAAAAGGAAACAAATATATAAAATTGCTCAAGAAAAATAATCGACAATACACGAATGATCTGTATCGCCAAGCGCCTCATTCAACTGCTCGTAGCTCTCTCTCCTGAAGCATAGATAGTACATGGAGAAAGGAACCCGACTGGAATTCAAAACTATTTTCACAAATCTATATATCCCACATAAAGTCTCTAGATTTATCCATCTGCCAGCCTATTGAAATAACATTATATAACCACATATACCTTGCAAGTCAGTGAGGAGGAAGTCATAGAGGCCGCGTGTGGAGTCTTATACCTTGCAGGTCTTAAGAGCATGAAAGCTGGATCACTGTACGAGGTGCATGTGTTCCGTAGAGCAGGACCAAATTACGAACGGACTGTGCTATTAACAAATTTTCGTTGGAAGCAGTGGGATATAACAAAGAAATTGGTATGTGGAAAGAGAAATATGGCAGTGTTTTATTTGAAGGTGTTACTCAGAGAGAACCTTTGGAAAATGGTCACAACAAAGTACCATTTTGTAAATGTTCGTAGGCACGGACACCCTCTTGTGCTTGTGGAAGGAGGATACATCCTACATGTGGTTAAACTTGATGAAATTGTTGAAGAACTTCGAAGACAGGAGGGACCTACATGCCTCTGCTTCTCCTTCGCAGGCTTTGCCTTGTTGGCTGTTGATTCAAGGGTCACCGGCTCTGACATGTTAACAGTATCAAAGATCTCTGTTGTGAACAGCTCGTTGCAGACCAAAATATGCCGCTGTGGGGATCTATATGAATCCTTGCTCTTGATTTAAGGTAAAGAAGGAAAAATGGAGCATAAGAGGAGCCATAATCGTGTTGTAAGAGCCTGCAAAGATTTCAACAATCAAAAGTTCATGTTATGTTTGCACCGGCCCTGGAGAAGCACATCTGGTATATTATAATGTTGAATAGAATGATGCAACATCCCATGGTTCTACATAGTTGAGCTTGGGATTGCATGGCATGGGTTCCGAAGCACCCGTTGCAATGTCGGAGCTAGCTTATAAATTTTTGGGTAGACGAGATGGAGTCTTGCGTAATGCCTATCTACGGTCACTATGGAATAAAATGGTCGCTTGCAAGTCAGTGAGGTGGAAGCCATAGAGGTGGCGTGTGGAGCCCTATACCTTGCAGGTCTTAAGAGCATGAAAACTGGACCACCGTACGAGGTGCATGTGTTCCGTAGATGAGTACCATATTACGAACAAACTGTGCTATTAACAGACGTTTCTTAGAAGTAGTGGGATATAACAAAGAAGTTGGTATGTAGAAAGAGAAATATGGCAGTGTTTTATTCGAATGCGTTACTCTGAGAGAACCTTTGGAAAATGATCACAACAAAGTACCCTTTTGTAAATGTTCGTAGGCAAGGACACCCTCTTGCGCTTCTGGAAGGAGGATATGTTCTACATGTGGTTAAACTTGGAAGTGCTGGTAGCATCGAGAAAACGATGCAACGTGCGACGACGTCTAGTGCAATTGTACTTCCGGAGTTTACGGTGGAAAATTCAGAAATTAGTCGATCTCCCTTCTTTTTGGATTAGTGATTGGATTCTTTTAGGCACTCCAACAAATTGTCTCCAGCCCTCCCAATATAAACATTCGACGTCAACTTCCTCTTCCTCTTGACCATTGTCTTTGTGAAACTCAATTCGAAAACTCGCATTTCAATGTAATATGAATTTTCCACCACAAACTCCTCAAGTACAATTACACTAGACGTCGCCGCACGTTGAATCGTTTTCTTGATGCTACCAAGACTCCCAAGTTTAACCACATGTAGAATATATCCTCCTTCTAGAAGCGCAAGAGGGTGTCCTTGCCTACAAACATCTACAAAAGGGTACTTTGTTGTGACCATTTTCCAAAGGTTCTCTCAGAGTAACGCCTTCGAATAAAACACTGCCATATTTCTCTTTCCACATACCAACTTCTTTGTTATATCCCACTACTTCTAAGAAACGTCTGTTAATAGCACAGTCCGTTCGTAATTTGGTACTCCTCTACGGAACACATGCACCTCATACGGTGGTCTAGTTTTTATGCTTTTAAGACCTGCAAGGTATAGGGCTCCACACGCTGCCTCTATGGCTTCCACCTCACTGACCTACAAGCGACCCTTTTATTCCATAGTGACGTAGATAGGCATTACGCAAGACTCCATCTCGTCTACCCAAAAATTTATAAGCTAGCTCCGACATTGCAACGGGTGTTCCGAAACCCATGTCATGCAATCCCAAGCTCAACTACGTAGAACCATGGGATGTTGCACCATTCTTTTCAACATTATAATATACCAAATGTGCTTCTCCAAGACCGGTGCAAACATAGCATGAAATTTTGATGCTTGTTGAAATCTTTACTGGCTCTTGCAACACGATTATGGCTCCTCTTATGCTCCATTTTTCCTTCTTTACCTTCAATCAAGAGAACGGATTCATATAGATCCCCACAGCGGCATATTTTGGTATGCAATGAGTTGTTCACAACCGAGATCTTTGATACTGTTAACATGTCAGGGCCGGTGACCCTTGAATCAACAGCCAACAAGGCAAAGCCTGTGAAGGAGAAGCAGAGGCATGTAGTGCCCTCTTGTCTTCGAAGTTCTTCAACAATTTCATCAAGAGACTCCTTTAAATGGCCTGTTGCAACGCGAAGATATTGATACTCATTTACAATTGAATCAACGTGGTTATAACAACGTAACCATAAAAAATTTAAAAAAAATTAAAAAGTATGCAACTGTATAAACAAAATAGACACCAGATGTTCAGTTTCTTAGCTACAACTCGTCATTCAGCTTCTAAGCTTAAATTACCGATGCATAATCATACGGAATGGCGTTATCGGCTCAAATTATGGGCAGAAGATAATGATGCCTTGCATTTTTAGGTGTTTGAATTCTTTAATTATAATGCACACACATTGTCACCATAAAAGAAGTGGAAATTTACTCACATCTTCAAGCTCCTTGTCCACAGCATACTCTAAAACAATTCCATCGTTTTCCATTACTGAAGGAATATCAAGTTCCATCACATAGATCACGCAAGGACTACCAAGTCCAGAGGTCGGATGGTCATCAAAAGTGTTGTTAGACTTGCTCTCCACACGACTCTCATGAATGCAAACCTAGCGAAACATAAAAATATTTTACTAAGTTTATCCACTAGAGGCTCCCGCCTAATTCACTTAAGAGATACACTTAGCAGTCGTTATATGACACGCCCCAACCCCAATATCCCCAAATATCAGGGTAGGAACGTGTTGGCCGACACCTGAGGATGACGAAGCCATTTTAAACATGCATACAATAAGATAGGTAATTAGAAAGAAATATGTCGATGCGGAAACATGTTCAAAGCATACAACTAGTCAAGGAATTTATGAAAGAATCACAATAAAGTATATGAATAAAGGAGTGGGTCCTACGCTGAAAAGACTCGAACATACCTACGCAAAGGTACACTGACTCGGGGATCGAATGCCTCGCTTTTAACTCCTGAGGGGGCGCAAAAACAGAAAAGGTGAGTGGACCATAAGTTATACTAATGCTAATAATAAGTAAACCAATTCCTTTCTTAACATAATAACCCCCTGTTTTGAAAACATATATAATACTACGTATGAGTTTTTCTAAAACTCTAGCATGCAGGAAATGTTCATAACCGTAAAATCATCTCTAAAACATGCATCTTGAAATGCCCCAAGGCAAAGCCATAAATCTCAGTACAACTATACTCTCTAGGGGTATCATATTTGCCCAAAGGCAAAACTTGTCCATCACCTGAAGATGAAACTATACCACATTGGGTCACGCCAATGAAGAAACATGGTATGCCCCATCACCCAAAAGTGAAGTTGTACGACTCTGGGTTACGCCAAAGAAGAACACTATAACATATATCTCACTCCTCCTCATCACCGTGTCCTATGGCCATAGACATCTAATACCCGTGTTGTGTGAATGTGATGTATGATAGCCTACTAGATATATATATATATATATATATATATATATATCCAAAACATAGCTCAAATCTCATGCCAACGTATCAAGATCCAAAAGTTCCAAAACCCCGTAAAATAATACATCCTCACAAATCCACAGAAAAATCATACGTATAAACCAATATTTTATAACCTTTATTATATAGTAAACTTGATATATCCAATATATTCCATAAGTAATTCAATTACTAATAAATTATCCAAATATCAGAAATATGCAATTTTATAAATCGTATTTTTAAAACATAAGCAACTCTGAAATAAATTATGTATGCAACCCTAAGATTTAATCTCCGAGTTGCACAGAAACTACCCAAGGTTAAAATCTTCAAATTTCAAACTAAAAATCAAGATTCCAAGTACGAACTCCTTACCTGGAAACCATTGAAGACGATCATGAGCTCGATTAAGTCTAAATCCCTCAAGATTGAACTCAAATTCGTCGGAATGATTCGGTGTGGTGAGTTTTACTTAACCCAACATAGATCCTCACATGCAAGGGCAGCATGTTGCTCACCAAGCTCCACATGTTGTGATTTCGGTAATTTGGGGGACGAATTTGGCTTAGATGATGAAGATGATGGTGATTGGCACCCATCCTAGAGAGAGAGAGAGAGAGTGAGTTTGAGAGGAGAAGAGAGTTGGAGAGAGAGGGATCCAAAGAGAGATCACAGAGTGGGAAGAAAAACAGTGGGCCGGTTTACAAACACCACACTGTGGTGGGTCCCACACCAATTTTAAAAACGGGCTGTTACATTATAAATCATTAATTCTAAAAAAAACTAAAGAAAATATCTTGAAAATTTTGAGTTTTAATAATAAAAATAAAATAAAAGATAAAATGAATTAGGGCTGGGTTCGGTTTGAAACGGTTCGGTTTTTAGTCAAAACCGAAACCGAACCGAAATTTCGGTTCAGTTCGGTTCGAATTTTTTCGGTTTTTTTTCGGTTCGGTTTTTTCGGTTTTGATTTTTTTCGGTTCGGTTTCAGTCCGGTTCGGTTTTTTCCATAATATTTTTTTTTTTTTAATTTGGAACAAATCTGAAACGATTGGTTGCGAGCACTGAAGATGCAGAAACTTATTGGGTGTTGGTGCAAATGAATATGAACTGTAACAAATCTGCAAATCTGCACTGGAAGAAATCTGCAAATGAATACGAACTGGAACAAATCTGCAAATGAAAACGAAAATTACAATATAAAATCCCAAATCCCAACAAATCTGCAAAGATTATAACATGCAAAATCCCAACTAATAATTAAAAGAAAAACCCATTTTAATTCAGTAAATCACAATATAAAATCCCAACAAATCTGCAAATGAATACGAAAATTACAATATAAATTCCCAACAAATCTGCAAAGATTATAACATGCAAATCCCAACAAATAATGAAAGAAAAACCCATTTTAATTCAGTAAATCACAATATAAAATTATAAATCATATTAGTTTTGATTCGAAAATTACCTGTGAGAGATCGGAAAACCCGGATTCGAATCTTCCAATTTAGAGGGGGTTCTGATTCGAAAGGGGCGAGGGAAAATCAAGGTTTGGAAGAAGGAATCCGTGAGGAGGACATGAGAAGACTGGAGAGAGAGTGATTTGGAGGAAGAGAGGAAGGAGAGAGAGAGAGAGAGAGAGAGAGAGAAGGGGCTGAGGAAGCAAAAGGCAGAGAGAGGACGCAGCGGAGGAGTTTGAAATCTGAAATGGGAAGTGAGATAAAGTGTGAGACGGCTAGGGTTTGTAAAGTTTAAGAAATTTTATAAAGCATTAAATACAAGAAGCCTATAAATATTGTACTGGTACAATAATAACAACTCAAAGCCCACAGTCAAGTTGGCTTGCAGCAACTAATCCTAAGCTATAGGGAAGGGGTTCAAACCCCGGCGCCTACATGTTTTTTTAGAATTTATATATGATTTTTTTTTTTCGGTTCGGTTCGGTCCGGTTCGGTTTCCGGACCTCAAAAACCGAAACCGAACCAACCAGATTCGGTTCAATTCGGTTTGGCAGTTTCGGTTCGGTTTTTTTTCGGTTCGGTTTTTTTCGGCTTCGGTTCGGTTTGGTTTTCGGTTTTTTTCGGTTTTCGGTTTTTTGAACCCACCCCTAAAATGAATAGTACCAGATTTAACTTTTTAATATAAAAATATGATTTTTCGTTAAAATGAACAGTACCGTAAGTTTTTCGTTAAAACTCCTTGATACTATAGAGTTGGTTGAGAACCTGTTCTGAAACAACAAACTTCTGATGGTTCTTTGAAATTTCCGCAGGTCTTTCTGGAAGCATTATTCGATGAAACTTTACTACCATCAATATTCCTACATTTAGAAACATCAAAACATTCAAAATCACAACCAAAACATTTCCGCACAGAAAAGAACTGAAACATAGGAATAATTACACACGCACCATACTTTGAAATGTTTAAGGTAGAAAGCTTGGTTTTCTTCTTGGCAGGTTTATCAGGACAAAGTTTACTCCCTTCGACTGTAATGATCCTTGAGTTCCTCATAGACTCCATGCTTGAAAGCATGGATTTAGGATTTACACATGTCTGAGCACTAGGTTTAATAGTCTTCTCGATTAAGCTGGAAGGATTTGCTTGACTGCTAGAAATCTCCACATGCCTGAATACATGCATTGACAATCAGACGCTTCACTAGAAGGTCCACTCGACCATTGATTATGTTGCTCAACAATGTACGAATTAAATTGTCACGTGCATGAGAAATAAGCAGTCACATCTTTGGATAAGAACATCAGTCAAAAGAGCCACATTCTTAATGATAAGATATGCAAAGTACAAGATGGAACAAGGTCTTTTATAAATGCCTTATCTGAGAACATGAAGACTTCTTCTCGTTCCACTTCCCAGGACAGGTTCCCTTTCTGTTACTTCTTTTTCAGACAGCCGTGAATTCCCAACCAGTTTGGCCTTCCTGGGTACACTGTCAGAATTGAAATCCTCTCCGTTGATGATTACAAAGGACGGGACACTGCTGTTTAGCATCGTCAATAGCGTTATTGTATTTTCTATGAACTAAAATGATGTATCTTTTTTCTTGAGCGATTCAAAATAATATGATGTCAGTGTAAAAACTTATGTTTATTTAAAACAATAAGGTTACTGGAATATGTTGGCTCGAGTCATCAGCTGATACTAATTGGATTTTAACATCACCTTCCCGATATGACATGTTTGGCTTTTGTTTCTTTATCAACTAACTCAGGAGTCTCAGGCAATTTGCTTCCAATTTGTGCATCATTAGCATTAGTAACCACCACCCTTTTGAAGATTAACCAAAACAGTTTATAACTTAAATTCCTACTACTCAATTGTTACGGGAAAGTATCACTGTATCGCTCACCCTTGCTCAATTGCACGACGTAGACGCATGGTATCAATCCTTTTGATTCCAGATGAGAGATATTTTGCTCCTATCGATGATGGCTGACACATTTGAGATCCAACTTGCTCCAATCTCTTAGAAATCTTTGAGTGGAATTCTCCACTTTTGCTTTCATTTGTCAGCGTAACTTTATCAACTGCAGATTCACTGCATCAAGAGGGAAAAATGTAAATGACGCGTTGATACTAAAGCTCACATGTTTACTCTCTATCAGAGCTATCTACACAGTTCAAGAGCATACCTGTTATACATACAGATTAGAGTCTGTTAGTTACAAGAATTTTTTGTGTTGTTTTTTTATTAGATTATTGTCATAAAGCACTTGAATGTATCAACTCAAAGTTAAATGGTTCTATGCATTCCACATATATAGTTCCAGTAACAGATGCACCTGAATTTTCTGATTATTGTTAGTTTCCGTATTCACAACCATTGACTCATGACAGTTTCAACCTCTTATAGTTCAAAACATAAGTCAGTGACTTGAAGGATGGAATCAATGAAGCAGAGGAAAAAAAAAGAGAGAATAATATGTTAGACGTGCTATGAGACAGCAAGGCAGTGTACCATCTTCTGTTATATCCAGTCACTGTATGCATCTTGGTGTCCTCGCAACTGCATGGCACGCCATTTTAACAGGAACCATGTTCACTGTGTACTACAAGCCAAGGTATTATTTGTATTTCTCAGCAATTAGTTTAGAGGTTTCAAATTTACTGTGAAAGTTGTGTTTTATTTTGTTTGTAGTATTTGATCTTGATGATTAGCTCAATTTTGTTTTTGAAGTACTGTTTCAATTGTTTGTTTACAGGACAAGTCCTGCTGAGTTCATTGTTCCATTTGATCAATACATGGAGTCTGTTGAAAACAACTATTCTATAGGCATGCGGTTTAAGATGAGGTTTGAAGGTGAAGAAGCTCCACTCTTATTATCCTTTTTCTTGGATGCAAAGTATTCACGGGTCACATTTTTTTTCTCTTGGCCCTAGGTGTTTTGAACTTTTGATGGAATTTCATTGATGTAAATATTGTGCGTTATTTGGGGTATTACCGTATTAGGTGAAGATGAAGTCTATTTGGATAAGAGTAAATTGGTTGTGTTTTTTTTTAAATTCAGATAATCATGTTCAATTATTTGGTTTGATTTAAAGGAATTTCTTACACAAAAAAGTTGGGGTTTTCTGGTTAGTTTTTTGGGTTGTACCGTCTGGGTATTTCGTACACACAAAAGTTAGGTTTTTCTGGTTAGTTTTTTGGGTTGTATATTTGGGTGATTTTATTTTCTTCAAATTTGTGGCTCACACAGTGACTTGAGGTAGGGATCAATTCGTCACTCCCATTGTCGGCCCGCAACTAGCACATGCATTAAGAAATGTATGCTATGATGTATTCTCAATTTAATGAGTGTGTCATATGTCCATTGGGTATACACCATACGGATCTTAGTCTAAGCACTACACAAATGCCTAACTTGAGCATCTAGCCTAGTCACCCCTCTCGGTGCCTACCTAGTTACTCACATCCAGCTTGACAATCTTTATCATGGATTTTAAATGAAAAAAATCTCCATGTTCAACCTTTGCTAGGTCTCATCTTAGACACTTCTAAGGCAACATTTACCTATATCTAGTGTATGTTTTGTATGTGAAATCATACACATGTCTGGTCTCACACTCAAATGCGTTTCAGACATATATATCTCATCCTGCTCGCTACCTCAGCGTCAGGGCAAATCGTTTCGTGTGAGTGAAATTGATTCTCGCTTGGTGATACTCGAAATAAATGTGCATCACAACATTCTCTGAAATAAACGTTAATTCGAATTAGTCACTTGTAGCTCATGTGGCCGACTACAAACCCCAAGCAAAAAACTACAGAAAAATCAGCTCCATGTACCCTAAATTCAGCCCGCAAAACAGCTAAAAAAACTGAAATTTTCAAGAAATCACAAAACTAGGGTATTTGATTTCTCTCAAACCGTGGCACATATTTGGATGAAGTTTTGAGGGAATGATTCTCATACATAAGATGACATATTTCTCAAAAGAAATCCTCAAAAAAACGCAACGAATCAAAACGTTATTTTTTCGAGTTTATGCAACCATGGTGGATCTTCTCGCAATTTACATCGAATTGTAAGACTAGGAACAAGCCTTATGGCTCTGATACCATTATTGGGAATTTGTACTAAAAATATAAGGAATTCGATATAGGACATACCTTGCAAAATTAACGAATTTTGGATCGTCGTCTCATTCCTACGAACCGTTGTACAAACCACAAAGAAGATCATCCAAGGAAGGATTTGGTTCCATCTATCCCCATTGGATTGTCTACATACCTTGTGTCAATGCACATGGATCAAACCACCATATTTCTTTGTAGCCTCCTAATCCTAGGATCAAGGTGATACCCTAGAGGCTAAACTAAAAAAGAAAAAGAATATTGTTTAAACCCCTTTGGTTTTCTTGCACCCACCGATGTGGGACTTTAACAACTCTAATTAACACCGAGACCTTTTGTGGTAAAACCTCACACTTGAGGATTGTGCAGGTGGTTAAGTTGGGGACAATATTGGTGTCGTTAGAGTGGGGCGGGCCCGGCGATCCAAAAATTCCAACATGGTATCAGAGCCCATGGTTGCGGGCCTGTGCAAGCCAATGAGCTTGTCACCAAGAAGGAAACAAGTGTGAACTCTTAACAAAGAGACGACCGCTGAGTTCAATTGAAAACAAGTGGGCCCAACGTGAGCTGACCTCTGAGCTTCAATTACCGATGTGGATCTTCACGTGTGAACCACTAAATGAGGTTACACGTGAGGGGGAGTGTTAAAGTCCCACATAGGTGGGTGCAAGAAAACCAAAGGGGTTTAAATAGTATTACCCCACTCTAACTAACACCGAGGCCTTTTGTGGTAAAACCCCACACCTGAGGATTGTGCAGGTGGTTAAGTTGGGGACAATATCGGTGTCGTTAGAGTGGGGCGGGCCCGGCGATCCAAAAATTCCAACAGAAACACGGTCATGTACACCAAGTATTATAATACAAGTTATTGAAAAGAAAAAAAAATCTTCAAATATACCCAACCACTTGTCTTACAACACTTTGTGTACCAAGCTGTATTCCTAGCACACAAAATATCACTCCATGTACGTTGCCGATAATGCTGATGGTTGTCTTTCAAATGACATATTGCTCGAAAGAAAGAAACAATGATGCAGATAATTGGTGCTACCGTGAAGCAAGAAACCTTCATCGTTTGTAGTGCTGATCCTTTGATCAAGCATGTTAACTAGGATATTCCTAAGTTTTGCTTTGTGTTTCATTAATCAAACATCGACGTTATAAACTTGTAACTAATTCCGTTTCAAATATAGTTTTTTTTTTTGGTTTGGTCAATTGGTGAGTCATTCATCAAGGAAGTTAAAGGACAGCCAACAAAGATCATGTTGAAGCATGCCACAAAAGCCGCAAAGAACTCGTTTACAGATACAACGCCACTTATACAAGTATTGTGCGTAACGTACATCTCAAATATATATATATATATATATATATATATATATATATATATATATATATATATATAGTTAAGTGAACAACAATTTGATCCTCAATTTTCTCTCTTAATTAAGCTGCTACTATAGACCAAATTGGACTAGCTAGGTCTTTCCCATCATCGTATCCAGTCTGATCAAGGCTAGAAGAGAAGATAACGATCCTATCTAGCAACCTGAGCTGATCAAATCTGGTCAAATCATATACCCTAACGATGACACTAAAGAATTCAGATAAACACTACACCTGCATGTTTTTTATAATCTCAGTACAGATCGATATGGGACATGACAGGTTCACAAAAACATCACCACACCAAAACTGGTCAGAAGGCATGAAGGCAAAAGCGTGTCGTTTGGCATCAACAGGCAAGAATAGGAGTGGCCATAAGCATACCAACATATCACTTTCCCTTTCTGTTATCTTCTGTCGTTGTTCTTATCCCTTTTAGAGCCAGTTTTTTTTTATCCAGACGTTCCATATGCGTGTTCAATTTTTTATTATACAATCAAACCAAAAAATAAGTAAGTATGTAAGTCTTAGAGTTTGAGAAAAAAAACTATACATGTAGCAGATCTAACTACGTCATTAGTGTGACACTCTTACAAAAATATGAAACGCTCTTTATATTTTAGTCTCACTCATGAGAGTTGCCCTGTTTATGCAAACCCTACCAAATATATCTTCTTCTAAACGAGATGGTTCAATCTTGTTGTCTATATACCAGCCAAAAAACCTGGATTTATCACCCCGTTTCCAAATGGTCAAACTTGCTATCATCAAAGGTGGAATCAATCTGTTCAAATTTGACTCAAAACAAAGCAGCAAGCTATATATTATACATTTTGAAGGAAAACAGTGACAATCTAGGTATACATAAAACTAGGGGTGTGATATCCACACACCTCTTTTTACTTCTCTCACACCCTTTTAATTTTTGGTCATCGGATCGAATAAATTGAAGAAGATCAAATGATAGAAATTAACAAGGGTGTGGGAGAAGTAAAAAGGAGTGTATGGATAACACACCCCTAAAACTAAGGGTTTGGGAGATCATTACAAAATCGCCAACGTTGACCTATGTTATTAAACAATGCATGCACGTTAGGTAGCCAACTGTAAGTAGATGATATTATGAGGAGTAATCCAATTACTTATAACCAACCTGCATACACTGACGCCTAGCTAATACAATGTGGGCAATTAATTTATACGTAGATAAGTAGGTATAGAAAAATACAAAAAAAAAGTGTAAATATTAATTTAGGTGTGTTTTAAGTTTTATAGTCAATTTATGCAACTTATATTATTGAGTATAGATACCAATTCGCAACGCATACAAGATGTTTGACAAAATATCTCATATTAATAGACTTAATAGACAAAGAATCAAAACAACTAACCAAGGTAACTAGCATGCTTTATCTTTGACTTCAAGAAGATAAATTTCAAACTCCACTATGACACCTGAATTTAGGTCTATATAGGTTACCCGTAATTTTCATGAAAATCAAGTCATGCTAAACACGAAAATTAAAAAAAGAATTCAGTCACATCCATTCTCAAATATCAAATAGCCAAACAGTGAAATATTTTGTTTTATTTATCCTAATAAAACATGTGATAGCAAAGATGTGGACAAATTGAACGCACATAGACACATTTATTGGCGTGCTTCAAAATTATTGGGCCGTCAAAATAACAAAAATGCCCTTAAGTTGTTTCTCTCCATTGTTACTAAAAAGAGTAATGTTAAGTAGACTAAATTTTTAAATTAAATTTTGTAAGTTAAATAATGTGTCGGATGATTATACTATTATTGAAATATTGATTAAGATATTTATTTTCTATTAATAACATATTATTTGATTTGTAAATTTAATTTAAAATTCAGTTGGTCTAATAGTATCACACTAAAAACTCCCAGTCCTTAATTATGCGGAAAAGCAGATGATTTGCGGTGTCTGAGACGCCGCGTACTCGTAACATTTGTGAATCAAATCCTAATCTTTTCAGTATTACGATATTAACAAAAATGTACGAAACAATGAGTCGGTTGGAGACAGTGGGCCCCTTAATTGGATAGAGCTACAGCATCAACGGCTAAGATTGAACAACATTACAGAATTTAGGCTGGATATCCGAGTATATGAGAGCTGTAATAATTGGACCAAACTGACGTGGATCCTGGCTGTCCAGCCCAATCTTCAGACCCCTCGGATCATGTGCGCCGCGGCTTGTTTGTCCACGTTGTCTTGGTGGTGAGTCCGACTCTCAGGCCCCACGTTGGTCCAAACTTTGGGTTTGGTATATAAATCCGATCCCATCTCTCACATTGTTCATGTCCATCGAGTCACACCATTTGTTTAGCAACTAGAAATATTTACTAGCAGTTAACGTGAATGGGTAGAGAAACTCCGGCCACCGCTCGAGAATTATTGGCGGCGAGTTTTTCCGGCATGGTTTTCGGGTTCCTTGAGGACTGCAACGAGTTCCCAGAAAGTT